TGCACACCTAAACATCCCACACGAATAGCAATACAAATTATGAGACAGAAAGATGATTATCATGAATCTTTCAAACAGAGGCATCAACATTTTTTATAAACATAATAGTGCACAATTTACATAATAATAAAAAAAGTAACGACATTAATTTACAACCATCCAAGTATTGTCCTCCAGATTTGTTCCTCAAATAACCCAACCTTGAACACTCAAAAGTAAAATCAACATAAAGCGAATGAAGCAGATGGGAAGACCTGATACTCAAATACAATACAACATGATTATGGGTAGATGATATCCTTTAGAGACAACAAACAATGGAACAAAATGCAGCCCCCATGCCAAACATGCTATTTTCTGCAGTAACTACCATACGGTGCAAAACGGGGGAAAGGAGAAATGAAAAGAAAAAAGACAACAATTCAGTTTTTGCAATAGAATCAAAGTCCTTTCAGTGATGACACTGAAACCACTTTTAGAGGTTTATTGGCCAACAATAATAAACTGAAAAGAATTCCATTCTTTTTATCCTATGAGCTACAGGCCTCACACATGTGCCTTAAAGAGAGGAATATTGCCTCTCCAAAACTTAAGGGAATTGTTCGAATTGGTGGCACGTAAAAGATTAAAATTGCAAATTTCCATTATCATTTGGAAAACATTTCCAATCAATTCATTTGAAGCTGTGATTAATTCTAGTAATGGTGCATGTCAAAAGTTGCCATAAAATACAATCCAGTTGCGTCTGACTGTTCAATTTGTCATCCCAAGTTGTTCATGGTGATCACAGTGTTTGTCCCCCCATATGCAGTTTTGAGTCGATTATTCGAAGAATAAAAGGATTTAAGAATAAGAAGAAGAGTCACTTACAAGGCAGTGATCTCTTCGGAAAGAAGTTCATTATCATCATCGCCAACATAAGCCCCATGATCTTTCAAGGCCTTCTTCTTCTTCCCACTCCCTCCTCCACGCTTCTTCTTCTTCTGCCCCATTCTCCCACTCCAAAAAGCCCAAAAACCCTCTTGCGCTTTTTATCAAACACCTGGAGGACCCAATCCACACCAAGAATTACAAACCCTTGTGCTCTTTCTTCAAATACCCACCAACCCAATTCACCTTTTCATCCAAATCGCACAACCCAGGTCATGAAAAATCAAATCAAAATCAATCGTAAAACGCAGTGTAAAAAATGGGAAGCACCTCAGTGGGAATAAATGGATCGTCGAAAACCCTCAATAGTGAAAGGGTTTTGAGAACTGAGGTGTTTGTGATTGAGAAAGCTAATCCCCAGTGATTGGACAAATACCTAATGGTGATGAAAATTAAATATTACGGCGCAGAAAAATATTGACGGCGGCGCTCAACTTTGTTTTGAAACCGGGAATATGCGCTGGACTCAACACTGGCGGCAAACGACCATTGGTATGTTGCCACATTGGATAGAACCCGACTAATTCAACCGAAATCAGTTTGGTTGGGTTGGGTTGGGTTGAATTGTAAACTGAAAAGATTTGTGTTCAGGTAAAAACTTAATCCTCCGTTTAATAGGTGGTTAAGCTCAACTATTATTAATCTAATTACAACTGACATACTTGAATATCAGCAATTCTAATTAAAACTCGATCCATCCGTTTAATTGGTGGGTTAAGTTGAAGGTTGGGTTGTAAATTGTAAAAATTTATGTTCAAGTAAAAACTCAATCCATTCGTTCAATTTGTGAGTTAAGTTCAACTATTATTAACCTAATTACAACTAACATACTTGAATATCAACAATTCTAATTAAAACTCAATCTATCCGTTCAATTACAAGGCTAAGTTAAACATTTTCTTTTTTGATACATCGATATTTTTATATTAAAGGGATGAGAAGTTAGGCTAAGCCACATAATAGGCTACTTAATGTGGTATCGAATTCGCCATCCACGAGATTCGAACCTAAGATTTCTCACTTCTAAGTGATGAAGAATACCATCAGATTGTAGTATTGAATGACAAGTTGAACTTTTTTTTAATATTTTATTTAAATAATGAACTTTTAATATTAAGTAACAAATAGTAATTTTGACTATTAAGGCCACTTTGAGACATGACCAATCAAAGAAAATTCTTTAAAGGGTCACATGTAAAACAGTAAAATTTACAAACATGATAGTCTTAAGAGTTAGTGAACTTTGAATTTAAACTATAACTTACAGTATTAGGATATATTATTCATATGGGGTGTGATATCCACATTCTATTTTACTTCTCACACACCTTTTTAATTTTCGACCGTCGGATTGGATGAATTGAAGAAGGTCAACGGACAGAAATCATTAAGAGGTGTATGAGAAGTAAAATCGGGTGTGTGGATAGCACACTCCTATTCATATTTGTGGATGCAGTGTTTCGCATACAATAAATTGGATGGAAAACCTGCAAAACAATAAACGATGTAAGATCAATGCCTAAGTTAGAAAGTGTTTGAGACAAATTGAAAGCTTGAGAATTCTAAGTAATAAAATTACGATTACAAATTTCTCTAGTGGACTCGGTTATTTATACGAGACGATGTCCATAAGCTGTCTGCTAGCAGGAATGCACCATGCTAGGCAGAATAGTTATCCTCGCATTCTCACAAAACTGTTATAAATCAACTTAATTTTGTCATTCTATCAAAAGCTGCTTTTCTAGTTGCACCATGATTGTTGTATGTGATGTGATGTACTAAAATGTTTAGCATTCATGCGTATGTAACAGTACAACTCTTTTGAGGTCGTAGTTTAATTTGTCAAACTATCTGGGTGAAAATTGACAGATTTTAGCACAAAAACTTGGCATCATCTATACAATTAACCTACCAACCCTTGCTTAAACAAGCCTTCAACTGAAGTAAGCTGCCACCTGTTACTTTTTACAAAGCTCTCTTTTTAACTCCAGCTCCTGTTGTCCTCGTTTTATTTTACACACTCATATCACTAAGGATAGTGCTATTCTTTTCACACTCTTGTTAAATTTAGGTCATTGATCTTCTTCAATTCATTTGATCTGACTGCCAAAAATTGAGAGGAGTGTGTAAGAAGCAAAAATAGGTGTGTGGAAAATACCACCAAACCAACCATGCCGGGAGAAGCACGAGTTGCACCATCAATGTTAACTTTATCTTGAAAAGCACAAGGAGAAAGCCAAAGTACCTCATGAATTATAGGCGCCCTTGAATGCCTTCTGATGCACTGCAAGCGCTCTGAGAATGCAAAGCTCAACTGAGTTTAATATAAAACACATACTCCAAGAATTCACCTCACAAACTTGCAAGAGAATGGCACTAATCAACCGATCAACTGTAAATATTTTTCCTTCAAAACGAATTAAATTACGAGCTTGCCAAAGTGACAAAAACCTACCCCAATCAGAACCCACTATACTAACTAAAGTTGAGTACCGAAACCGCACCTCAGAGGATAAGAAAAAAATATGTGATGTTAGAGAATAACGTATATAAGGTTAAAATACGTCAAATTACCAAAGAAAATGAGCAATCGAACAATAAATGATGGGCAGATTCAGTAGCCTTACAACACGAAGAGCACATCGACGCAAAGAGAACCCCAATGAAGCAATAAATCACGAGTTTAAAGCTTATTGTGAAGAAATGCCATAATAAAATAGAATTACATGGTAAAAAACATATACGCCAAACTCATTTATTCGAAACAATTGCTTGTTTACCACACTTAAAGTCATAAGCCAAAGATAAAGATAGTAAACTATTTGAAACAGTTAACCAATTAGTTTATCTTCCATACAGTTAGGGGCGGATGGAAATAGAGACCAAGGTGGTATTAGGACCACCCGAGTCTGGAAAATATACAAGTGAAGGTCTTCCGAGAACCCTCTGAATGTTTGTTACAAGGCCCTTTTGTGCTTACTAAATGTTTGATATCATGCATGCTAGGCATATCTCAATATATTGCGTTGATAGCACTCGACAAGTTCTCATAATATCACTCATCAGATTCCTTCGACATATGCCCATTTTTGTATTTAACATTCTAAAAAACTTGTATTTATCATTGAGACCCCCAAAGTTCAAATCCTGAATTCATCACTATACAGTACTCTCTCAAAAACAAAAATTCAACTTCATCTTTCATCATAATCTCATTTCTCCAAACCATGATTATTGTATTCTATGTGCTATTCATTAAAAAATAAAAAAATAAACCCAGAGGTGAAGTGTGCTGCCTTACCTTCCATAAATAAACCACGACTCTTCCCAAAGTTAGGCTCTTTAGATGAGTTTGGAGAGAGTTTTTTTGGGGCTTGGGCAATTAGCATAATTCTTCCATTTGGTTTGTTGGTTCTTTTTTCCGACAGCAGATGTTTTCTAGCATTTATGAGATCTGTTTATGGGCTTGTTTCTTTGTATTTCTTTGTTTTGATTTTGAATAATGTTAGAGAGACCAAAATTTAAACCAAATGATGTACCATTAATAGAAACAAGTACGTTAATCAACAATTAAGTAATAATCCAATCATCACCCATCACAACATTTAGTTTAAAATTTTGATTTCTTTAGCATTACCCTTTCGGTCGTACTTTTGCTTAGGTGATTTGGATTGTTTTTGTCTATTGATCTTCTTCAATTCATCAATATGACGAACGAAAATTAAGAACATTATGTGAAAAATAAAAATAAATGAATAGATAGCACCATTCTTGTTTTAAGCTTAAAAAGCTCCATTGGCTTGTCTTTTAACTTTACATTTGTCTTGTTGCCAAAATGCCACTTGACCATTTCTTTTGGGCCAATGTATATGAAGCTAAAAAGTGATTTTCATATACATTACGATTTAAATAATTTGTACATGTGTATAGGAGGATCAAGCCTCACCCACATCCAGCCAATCAAAATCCTCCGTCCTATTACTCCATATCACCTCTTCACATATTTCTTATCTGTCATATATCAAAACATCCATCCGTTCACCCTCCCATCCAAACTCACAACACCACATCTCTCCACATCTTAAGCCCATCACCTCCCTCCTCCCTTCCCCTTTATGCCCTCTTAACTCCTCTCCGTCACCACCACCACACACTCCTCTCTCTCTCTCTCTCTCTCTCTCTCTCTCCCCATGGCAGCCAAGTCTTTCCAATCCATACGCCACAATCACCACTCACCCCTCCTCCACCACCACCATATAGACAATGCTCCCTCCACCTTCTTCCTTAAACCGACCACCACAAACACCCTAACTTCTCCTCTCTCTCATCACTTTCTCTTCTCCACCAAAACTTTCTCAATCTCCGCCACCACATCATTCTCCACACCCTCTTCCTCCACCCAAGCCACCTCCTTCGACCTCCTAGAACAACACCTCTCCGCCCAAAACTTCCGCGAAGCCGACGAGGAGACCCGCCGCCTCCTCATAGTCCTCGCCGGAGAACAAGCCCAGAAGCGAGGCTACGTCTTCTTCTCCGAGGTCCAGTTCATCTCCGAAGCCGACCTCCAAGCCATCGACGCCCTATGGAGACAGCACAGCAACAACAAATTCGGGTACAGCGTCCAGAAAAAAATTTACGACAAGGTAGGCGACGACTTCACCAAGTTCTTCATCAAGGTAGGGTGGATGAAGAAGCTTGACACAGAAGTTTTGCAATACAACTATAGGGCATTTCCCGGTGAGTTCATCTGGGAGCTCAATGAGAGCACTCCGGAGGGTCATCTGCCATTGACAAATGCTTTGAGAGGTACCCAGTTGCTTAAAAGCATTTTAAACCATCCAGCTTTCAAGCCCACTGAAGAAGAAGTGCTTCTAGAAAAAGCTGCTGCTGAAGCCGAAGGTAACATTGGAGTAACAGGTTTGAAGGGTTTCATGGATGGCTCCAAAAGCAAAAGAGTGCTCAAATCAGATTATAGCTTTTAAAATTTGAAATATCATTATCATGATGAATTTGAATATTATTCTGGAACATACCTACTATATTATTATTATTATGCACAGAAAAATTGAATAACATTTGGATTTCTGTAACAATTTAAATCTACTTTTCTGTGTTCAAATTGTATGTTTATACTTGTGTGGAGAGATTTAATCACATAGCTGGAACACGAGTTGATACATAATTTGTCATCAATAAGTAAATAATTTTTTTTCAAACATCTCTACACTTATATTATAATCTATAAAATATCATTTCGTATTTCGAATACACTAAAAAGTCTCTTGGCTATTAAAGTTTGGACAGGTGGAAGAATGATAACCAAAAATAGCTGACAGGTGGAACTTTTATTTCTTTTTATTATTTTTTTTCTGGGTAAAAACAACTGGAAGCAATTGTTTATATAAAGTACCAATTAAAGCCATCACGGAGTCTATGTGAAATGTGCCGAATGGGAGCAAAGTTGTAGAACTTTACAGGGCGTTTCATTTTGGCGTTTCGGAAGGATGAAGACAGATCAAATTAAATCAAACCGTGAACTTCTGTTTTGTTGCTTGTCGTTTTTGGACAGTTTTATATTGGTCCTTATGGGGAAATGCAATCAAATCAGAAGTGACTTTGCTCAATTTATTTATCTAACGAATAATGTTATTTACATCATGCTTTTATATTATATTTTTATATCATTTTATATGATATCTGATATAGACAACTACATTATTTGAAAAATTTGCAAAACCTAAGGAAAGGAAGGAGAAAGATTTCTCGTATACCACAATTAGACCTGGCATTTTGGACCCGACCCGTTAATATTAGTATTTGGATGGGTGTTTAACGAGTTGGGTCGCTAACGGGTGAACCCATTAAATAACGGGTCATTTTGGGTCAACCTGTTAGCACCCGTTAGTTGAGAATATTTTGGTAATTTCAGCCAAGTCTTAACAACAAAAAATAAACTTTATGCAAAAAATAATAATAATTGTCAACGAGTGAAACGGATGACCCGTTAGCTTAACGGGTTGGGTTCGGATGACCTGTTAACTTAACGGGTCGAGTTCAACCCTACCCAAACCCAATAAACCCGACCCCTTTATAGGTCTAACCACAATCATCATGTAATTACCTAGTTTTTCTTAATTATTAGTTTCTTAAATTATGAACTAAATTTAAAAATCTGATTAATTCAAATGATGTGGCTGTCCACATTAAATGTCACCTAAGGTGATATAAAAATGTGATAAAAAATATAGTATGAATAACATTAACGGCTAAAATTTGAGAAAAATGTGTGAGAAATAAAAGTTGGTGTATAGATAGTACCACCTACAAATCAAATGCTATAGTTGTTTAGTACATACTAGAGCTTTAGCTTCGCGCGTTGTTGCAAGAATGTCAAATAGATTATAAGTATTGTATATATGGAAGTGTTAGAATAAAAGACATAACATGTTGTAAGTATGGTGCGTAAATATATAAAAACTGTATACATAAAACATGTACAAAAGTATTTACATAAAATACATAGCTATTGTTAACAGCTTTATATACACATAGGGAGTCCCTCAAAATATAACAACCTCTACAAACGTGAGTTTTTGAAACGTGAATATAAATAGTAAAAGCTTGTAATTCACGGATTGGGACTATTTCCACGAATTAGAAAGCTACGGAACCAAAATATAAATTTTATCAGTTTGCGAAAACATGAATATAAATAGCAAAAGAGGGATTAGTCTTCTCTTCTCTTGAATTCAGAATCAGTCTTACTCTCAATAGGACCGGTATTTCATGAACGCGTTAATTTGAGAAGATGGATCAATTCCTTCAGTCATGCTCTTTTAAAGTTTTCGTTTTGGGCACCTGTGAGGCTGCATATTAATCACAACATTATATTAGTTTAGATGTAAAAGTTTAAATTATTAGAAAACTCATTTTCTTATTTTGCTTTTAATCACCTCAAAATGAGGACCTTAGGAAACGGAGGTTCAATTCTCTATACGTAATAAGACGATAACTGCTCCTCCTATTCCGTTTCTAGAATAATTATATTCAAATTGTATCAAGTCTAATATTAACACAACCATTGCTAATTAGTACTACGATTTAGTAATATTCTTTTTTAATTTTAAGTGAGTTGTATTAGGTTCAATTCTCGTCAAAGGCGAATTTGAACCAACTTATTGTTAACGTATTGTGAGGCTAAGTCCACCTCCTTAATGTAGACAATATCATTTTTATTTTCAAACAAAAAAAAATATTAAAACAGGACAAGGATTGTCTGCCCTCCCACTTCCAGTGCCCTCCCATGCCCTCTGTTTGTATGGTCACAGTTAAGTCACGTCAACATTTTATATTACTATTTATTGTTGTCTTATTATCTCTATAAAAAATAATATAAAATGTTGACGTGGTTTAACCGTGACCACACAAAACAGAAGAGCACCGAAAATGGAAGGACAAACAATCCTTGTCCATTAAAACAACCATTGACTTGTTTGCTAATGTACCAAAACTGCAATCCTCCACATTAAATAAAATTCCCAAATACCATGTATCACATAATTTCAATTTAAAGAACACAAGCTTGATTCGATGACCATTGGTCCAACTACCTCGTTTTCCCATTATTTGTTATAATAATTTAAAAGTTTTTACCCCTTATTTGTTTTAATAATTTAAAAGTTCACTAAAGACCATAATTCATTGTTTTTTAGTCCCGAACTTTACCAAACGCTGGTTAATAGTCGTAGCCAAGCCACTCACACTTTATACAATGAAACAGACGGAGCCTAAAAGAATCACTTGCTGCTGGGTTTACCATACATAAGATACCAGTCAATAATACAAATGTTACAAAATATGGTGTGGTGGTACAAAATTTTAATTCAATATTACATATTCAAATGTAAAAATAAAAAATAAAAATAAAAAAATTATATAAGCCGTCGCAAAATCCCAAATCGGGTCCACTCTTCCCGTGCACCTCCCTCGCACCGAAACCAAATTGCATTACACGTGTCATTAACTCATTGCGTACAAGGACCAAGGAAAAACGAACCCTAGGGCCCACCAATGCCAAGCTCGTCAACGCCATCGACAAAAACGCCGGCTCGTTTAACGGAATCGAAGAGCGGCAACACCCTGATGCGGTGGTGGACAGGCCTGGCCAGCTCTTCGCGGAGGTCGATCTCGACGCCGGTGACGCCGATATCCCGGAGACGGAGGGCGAGCTTCTCGCCGACGCGAGAGGCGACCTTGGCGTCCCAGAAGGTTTGGGAGCGAGGGAAGCGGTTGAGATTGGATCGGTAGCGGGCGACGAACTCTTGCTCGGAGGAGGAGGCCATGGCTATGATTGAGGAGCTGCTGGGGCTCGTCACCTGTGCTGTGATTTTGCGGCATGAGAGCACCAGGCGGAGGACATGGTGGTTTCCGGACATTGCAATTTGCAGAGAGTGAGAGAAATGGAGAGAGACGGAACTGGGAACTATTCTATTCTGTTCAATTCTTTTCTTAAAATAATTGATTTATTCTAATTAAAATTGATTTCTTAAATTTAAAAAAATTTAAGAAATCTTAAATTATTTTTTGATATATTAATTCTCTGAATTATTCAAAATTAGCTAATTAACTCTTTACTGTTAAATTTCAGAAATTTCTTCCACTTTGTCATTAAATTTTGGCACATGAGATTTATTATTTAGAATAAAATCGTAGACTTATTTGTAGCTATGCCTCTAAAATTTGATCTTAATTTTACTTTGCTTTTTGTAATTCAAAAATCGTTTCTTTACTCTTTGAAACTTAAAATTCACTCAACTTTGTCTTGTTGCAACTTAATTTTAATCTTATTTTACTCTCTAAAACTTGAAAGTGATATCTATAAAACTCAAAATTCAATCTACATTGCCTTAGATATGTTAATTTTTTACGTGGGTTAAGATTTAGGTATGGCATGCTAATCAATTTCTTTTTTATTGTGTTCATCTCTTTAATTTCTTTTAAATTTAATATTATCTGATTATTAAATAGTAACTTATAATAAAGATTAATAATCAAATTTATTGTACATGTAACATAGTTTTATTAAGTGTTGGGTCTCATATATAAGATGATCTATAAGTTTCTAGAATAAAAGAGAGTTTATAAGCCAAAATGAAATAAATTTTGAGTTCTAAAAAATAAAATAACGATTTTTAACTTACAAATGACAAAATGAGGTTAAAATGAAATTCTAAAGTGCAAGTAAAAATAAGCTTAAAATTGTGTCCATATTTGACAATAAAATAGATTAAATTTTATCAAATCTGGCGATAAATAGTTAATTTATTAATTTCAAATAATTAAGGGCCTCAATTATAAAAAGTAATTCAGAGATCAATTTTAACTAAGATAGTGGTTCGGAAATCAAACCACACTTTAATTTGTTTATTAATCTCACAAAACTGGATTAGATTTATATTGAATTTATCCTTCATTTTTTCGTTGAAGGAGAAGACCGTCCCTTTGATTTCTTTAGATTTTGAATCGTTTCCAAGAAGACGAAGATTGAAACCTTCAATCCGGCCCCAAAATTCAACTTCGATATTCGTTCTCCAGTATGGCAGTACCCATATCCAGATCAAACTTATCCTTGCTATTCTTTCACCTGTTCATCATTCTATTCTCCCCCAGAATCTCAGCCATCAGGTAATTTCAAAGTATTGAACTTTTTATATCGTCTCTTTGATTGCTGAGAAAAACAGAGGAAATGTTCAATCTTTGTGGTGATGCGGTTGTAAAGTTTGAATCTTTAATGGCTTCCCCAAATGGGTATTTGATTTTTCTCTTTTCCTTTCATAAATTATGTACAAAAGCTAAAAGAGACGAAGAAAACGTAGTATTTGATGTGGGTTTAATGATGTGAAGTTAATTTGGAGGACATGGCAGGCTTGGCAGCTTGTTCTTGTAGGATGCCTTATCCTTTTTTCTTTTAACCCCAGCCTTCTTCGTGTTTTAACTAGAATTTATCCGAATTTTAAACGAATTCAGCGCACACTATTGTAAATTTGTAATTTCTTGGTCATACAGCGGTAGACTTTCGATTTGTGTGCTGTGTAGTTTTCCTTAATTCTTTTCTGACTTGTTGAACAACCAAATTGCTCATCTGGATTGTTTGTGTTTTCGTGGTTTGGTGTTATATTTTGTACATTTTGTTCTGGCTCTTCCCCAGTTGATGCTAATTTTAGTGTGGTTAACTGCTTGTTTTTTGTTTCCCATTGAAATTTTACAGGAAGGATGTTGGCTTTCAAACGAAGCACTTTTGCAAAAATACGGTCCAAGGAAGATACTTACTTTCTGATGATAATGGTCAGCTTGTCCCTCACTGAGTCTGTTATTTTGTTGTTGTTGTTGTTGTTGTCATTCTTGAAATTTAAATCATCAACATTTTAGTACTTCCCGACATTCTCAAAGGGATTACCATGATACTATAATTATTAGTTCTTGGTTGTGGATTTCACATTGAAGTAACGGGAGATGCCAAAAAATGGTTAATTTTCCCTGTGAAACGTCCATGTAAGTGATGATACAAGTAATGAGCTCATAGTGGAACTGTGAGGGAGAAAAGAAAAAGGGAGGGCAAGGGGGAGATGGTTGCTACTGCAATATGCTAATGTTGCTAAGAAGTTACTCTAATGGTTTTTACATCCGTGTCAGTTTTCGTTCCCTTAGTTACATAATCTATGTTTGCATTGTAGGCCGTGTCTGTGATGCACTGACCGTAAATCCCCGGTCCCGCTGCTGCCCTGAAAAAGGAGAAACATTCTCTTGTTAGTGAGTTTTTCACTAAGTAGAACTCTGAAATGCTACACATTATAAGAAGATTGAGCAAACTTATAACATCCCGGCCCCCCTTTGTTTGCAGTGGTTGCAACGTTGTTTCAGAGTGTTGTAATTCTTATGAATATTGTGTTTCGTGCTGTCTAAATCCTTCAAGGGTAATTTTCTTTAATTTTTGTTTTATCGTGTTATATGTGTGTATATTTTATTTATTACTGTTTAATTTATGCTTTTCTGTTCTCTTTATAATATTATAATCTTCACTTTTACTGGGTTTTGTGACACAGATTACAGAGGAACAAGTAATAAAGGTGAAGATGGCCAAACCAGCTACGGCAGGTACAATTATAAATTGTACAAGAAGGTTTTAATCTTTTCTTAGAGACTAATCTTGAGCATTCCTTGCTATAAATTGTACATTGATAAATGAATGTTCAGCTGCTATTTGAACTAGGTTTTGTAAAATTAGAGTTCCTGATTGAGCTATTCGTTCCCTTTATCCACTGCATGGAATGAGTTTGGTGAAAGCTCAGTTTTTCGATTTCTGTGCTCAAAATTTTCATTTGGCAGGGACATATTCTAGTGCTTTCGATTTCTGTGCTGGGAGGTGCCGTCATAATTCTGAGAGTGTGGTAAGTAATGCATTTATGATGTAATCGTTTGTCTTCTTGGACTTGGTTTGTTGCTTTTGGCTTTTTCCCATGATAGATACTGTTTCCTCATTATGGGAATAAGTGCTCGAAGATATTTATCAAATGTGGTCCTAGGAGTAACTTAATTATTAGTTGCCAGTTTAACCAAATTAGTTTGCGAAGTTAAGTATCTTCCTTTGTCAAGAACTCAGAGCCATGGTCTTAAATGTTAACTTACATGTGGCATGCAATCTCTTTTTATAAATCTCGTAGAAAGATTTAATCAAGAAATGTATCGCAATTGGTATGTACCTTTTTTTTGGAATTTTGTCACTGGATTCTCAATACTTGGTTAAGAAACTGGTGATCAGACTTAACATGAGAATTCAGGTCAGAGGGGTCACTGAAAGTGAAAAGTCTTCGTTAGATGTCAGATTTGTCCAAATGACAGAATATGATAGCAGTCTCCCTATTAAATATATCAAATTAATATACAGTAAGTAAGAATGTTATTGTCATTGGTGTAGGCTTTATGTTTAGGGATGATTGAGCTATTAGTAGATTTGGCAAGCTACTTGAGTGCTCCTGATTGAGCTAATTTAGTTGATTTCATTTATCGGGTATTTTTTTTGGTCAATTCCTACGGCTAACTTGTAGGTTCTTCATTGACTTGCATGGAGGCTATTTAAACTTATCTATAATACTCAGATGATCGATTACAAATTATGATCCTCCTCTCCCTTACTAAATTTTCTTTTCAAACCGGTATCATGGCCAGAAAGGCAAGTAGGAAAGACAGAAAATGAACAACTTCTCTCACTATTCTTAAATTTCTTATAGGATACAAGACCTGACTAATAAAAAGCACTGGTACAATACTAAGGACTAGATGCCTCTAAAGGAAGAAAAATAAAAAGATGAAACTGAAACCATCGTCTGCCTACACCAAGACAACTGCAAAATACATCCAAGACAACACCAAAACACATTAAGAAACAGCAGCATTTCCAATTTCAAAAGACAACAGAAAACAACCATTGTAGACTTAAGCATTGAGAAAAAGGGCACATGAATGTCTATCAAGCACCAATAATGATTTCAGCCTCAGGATATAATCAGTAAGAGCAAATATAATAGCATAGCACATAAACTTCCCCAGATTCCTTGTTCGTTTAGTTTTGACTCATTCTTTTCTTATTGAAATACCTTACAAAACAGTAGAAATTTTGGATTTTTTGTTTGTATGGTTTCAATATGTGTGCATGTGATGTTTTCATATGCTGGGACCCTGTCTGAATAAGTTTGAACATCTCAGGTCCATGAAAATGCTTACCTTAGTGATTTCCATCACTGTTTTTCTCTGCCATCAAACTCTTCAGGTAAGATTCGGCTTTGGTGATATATTAGAATATGTTCTATTCTTTAACAACATCAGAGATTTCTGTAGTGGTTAATTATAAAACATACCCCATCTTATTGAGGACCATGTTTGAAACATTATGACCCTTTTTTTTCTCTTATTGTGTGGAGAATTCCTTTTATTTATTTTGGGTGAAGGCGGGTTTCAACTCCTATGTGCTGTTTAGTACTTGCTCCATATTTTTCTTATATTTGTTACCTTGATTCTAACGCTAGCTTAACATTTGATTATACAGTTTTCATCTAAATTTTATAGTTGTTTTTGTATAAAAATGTGCATTGTTTCCCTCATTGAAAGCATGAATTTTTTAGTTGTGTTATGATTTTTGCCAAGTTTCTGATGATAGTTTTTAGTTGGACTTTTTCTTGGATGAAGAACTTGTCCTTGTTTCTTGAAAAAGGGTTTTGTTTATTCTTAATTTGGTATAGTAGTGTAAAGATGTAGGATGATATTAACAGTACTCGGGACTGAATAAAGTCTTAAAAAGAGACACAGCTATAGAAGTGGAACCAGTAGCCTGGGGTTTAGAGCCCAAATTTGGAAGAAGACTTTAGCTTGCTCTTCAAAGTAGTGGCAAGGGTCTTCATGCCCTATTTAACATCTGATTCCTATGTAGTAATGGTTTCGGAAATTGATGGTTCCATTTTGCTTTCTTGGAGGAGCTAACTGTTTCCATAAATGACCTTTGAAAAAAATAAACTCAGAACCTAGTTATACCTGAGGTTTCTAGTTCCTCATAATTTCCATGGGATTTTGGATAAACTTTTATTAGAAATCCTCATTATTAAATTGTTTTTGCCACTTAGTAGTATAGTCTAGTGGTATTCCTTTTCGCTTGTAAGGGAGCGGTCCTAGGTTCAAATCTCATGAATGGCAAGTTCACAACCAATTTATTCCCCCAATGCATCGTTTGTATAAAAAAATTTCTTTAAATTACCTTTTTTGGTCGTTGAAAGGAAATTTTCTTTCCACAGTCCACACTAATATATAGCTTTTCTACAAGATACATCTTAAGTTAATATAACAGTGAACATAGTAATGCTAGTGTAGAAGGTCCTTTATTTATATATATAAATTAATGTCAAACTGGACTTTTGGAGCATGATTGATGTTTTGCTGTTAGCCCTCCTGCTAAACCTTTTAATTTGATTGATAAAATCAGTGCCCATCTCTCTGACTGGATACAGTATACATCTAGTTAAGAGGGTTAATTTTGTTCTTTCTAAATATGTCAACAGCTGCAAATTATACATTTTTAGAAGCCAGACTGAATGGCATTGATGTTCTTGTTGGAAGGTGAGGTTTCACAACAATTGTTTTTCTCTATATATTTATATATCAATTAATAGAAAATCTCAAACTGTAGCTGATTCACAAAATTTCTTATTTTGTGCGTCAGGCAAGGGGAATCATGCGATACAGTTTGCAGGTCAAAAGGACAATCTTGTGTTCCAAATAAGCTTTCGGTACTTAACCAGTGTGACATGTAAGTTGAGTTTCAGTTTTCTTTACTGAACCTTTTATTTATAATTCTTGAATTTTTCTTGTTGGTTAAAACGTAGTCATCATACATGCAAACACTAATATTGTGGCCCTTTTTTTTATCAAAAGAAAAAGGAAAAGAATGCATGCTATTATTATTCAAAAAATTGATTGTGTACCACTGACTAATAAATAATTTTGAAACTATCAATTTGAAAGACCAAAAAAAGTGTAAAGATGTTTGTTGTAGCCAAGCAGTTTAACTTCTTGACAGTCCACATTTGTTTTATGGTTAAAAAGTCCTAATTTTCAAAGTTGATGGATGAGCATTTGAGCCTAAATTCAAATATGTAGTTTCTACTTCATGCCTCAGATTTTTTATGGTGGATCCACTCATTTGGGTCCTGTGTGGTGCACAGCCTGCTCCTGCTTTGCAGCTGGCTATATTATATATCATGGGGGATATGATCAATATTATGTCAATCAGTTATTGTGTTAACTTCTATGTTCCCCATTGCTCAGGCCAAAAATAAAATATGCTTCCTTCTGTATAGATTCAATAAGTAGCAGAAAAATATATGTACAGGCTTCCGTCATGCTGTAATTATTTATTTATTTTTTTCCTTTCATGTTTGGATTGTAACATTTTAAAGGGAACTTATATTGTCTAAACACTGATGGAAGATTCTTTTCAGCCATGACGACCCAAAAGGTTTTCTTTTTTGTGATATTCTTCTTGAATGTGTGGGAGCTTTACGTTGATGATTCATTTCGTAGTCTTTTTTTGTAGTTGTTTACTCCAGTTGCTCTGTTTGTAGTTTTAGTTGGACTGATGGACTTGCTCTGTTTGTAGATTTAATTGAACTGATTGACTGCTTTCCCATCTCCTTTTGCACTTTATTTGTTTTCAATTAAGTTTTTGTTTCTGATCATTTTTCTTTTTCATAACATTAAGTGGCACTTTATATTTTTCATATGGGTTGTAACATCTATTTAATTCTTTGTGATTCTCTCTTGAGCAGTATGCAGAAATATATGAGATGCAAGGGAACTTGCCTGGCAAGTATCGGTCCAGACCAACCTGCTGAAGTGGTTGATGACGCTCCTGAAGATTTGGTATGCTTTTGTTTTAGCATTAAAGTTTCTATGTTCTGGGGTTGTGTTTTATAATATAGAGATGCTTTCTTTTTTCTGCACAACTTTGATAAAAACACCCTACCTGTAAACAATTTATTGTATTTTGCAAAGAAGTTGCAGTCGCTGGAGGTTATTATTACCGCATAGGAAATTTGTTGTTTGTAGCAATTTTTTTTTTCTGTTTCTTATGCACTGCTTTGTATCTTTATGCCAACCCTTTATTGTGGAGATTGTATACTCTATTTACATAGTTTTTAACCCTTTTCGATTATGATACAGTAATTATCAATATATCACAATTTGTTAGAAGAATATCACTCATTTGCAAAGAAGACGCAGTCGCTGGAGCTTATTATTGCCGCCTAGGCCGATTTTTAGAACACTGTATACTTTTGTGGTGTTAGACTTATCAGTTTTGCAATATGTTATGAAATTTTAGCGGAGCTATTTAAAACCGTCATCTAAACATCACAAAGCTTGGATGGACTCATTTTTCTGATTGTTTTGTTATAGAAACAAGTGGAACTGAAAACATTGTAATAGAAGAATTTGTGTATGACATGCTTTTTCTTCACGAAGCTAGAAAAAAATGACATTCCATGACAGTTTTGCTTTTGTTGGAAGTATATGAGTATGACACTGATGGCACATGCTCTCTTGTGACTTGCAGAATCCTGGAGCATGCTTGTTTACGCAAACACAATCAATGCTTTCTTGTTATGGTTCACATCAGCATACGAGGAGGCTTTGCCCTTGTGCGTAGTGCCCTATTGGTAAGTTCGAGTTCTTTTAATACATGTTTTATTTTAAAAAATAACAATAAATACATACTGTTTGAAAATTAAGTTTGTCGAATAGTTAGAAAAAAACTTACAGTACTCATGGTAGTATTTTAGTAACATATATCTATGTCAAGATAATTTCCAATAGGCAGAATTCTTCGAATAGTTCCAAAATCACAATGTCGCCATAATATGCAAAGGAATACCTTTTTTTCCAGCCAATAGGCCAAGGAATACTTCATTGGCTGCACAGTTACTTTACTTTTTCTCCAACCTTAGCTTTGAAATTTTGCTTTTTAGCCAAAATTGACTCCCCACTTTGCTCCTTGACAATGAAAATCGATAGAAGTGGTTCCTGAGTTTGTCCACCACAAACCTCATTAAATTGTCATGTGCGCACCTTTTCAAGGTTATTTTTGTCAAACCAACCCCTCTACCTAACGAGGAGTTATGCCAATTTCATGGACCATTTTATAGCTAAAAAGCCTTTAAATTTTGATAAATGGCAACCAATTGCTTAATGTAATATGCAGCCTTGTCTTACATATACATGTATAGCATTATAGAACATTAGCAATTAATCTTTTTCTTGTTCGTGTTTGTATAAAACTATAAACCAATAGCAACCAAGAATGTATCCCGCCGGGATGCTCATCATTTCCTGCTATGTGGAGGCATATTATTCGTTTTTCTGTACTTTATCCTTTTGGGGTTGGTGGGGCAAGTTGCACCACTTCTATCGCTTCACTGTTCCTAATCTTGTCACAATTAGTTCCCAACTAAATTTCTTGACTTAGAAGAAACATAGAAAATCAAAACATGAAAGAAGCCTTATGTTATCATTTACTTGCAGGATTCGTCACCAAGGTCACCGGGATGAACTGTTGGGATGATGTATATTGTACGCCGATTTCATTTGCTGTTCCACCTGGCCTGATTTCCCAAAATTGGCGAATCTAGTTTGCTCCGAGTTTTTGTAATTACAAGAGCGGCTCATTGTAACGAAGTTCGGTTGAGGAGAAACAAGTCAGTAAGCTCTGCCTTGCAATGGCATCAGAAAGTGAGGGCGTGGGTCTTTCTGTTCTGTGTAGTTCTAGCTGTTCATCACAGATAGCACACAATGTATAATGTTAATGTGTATTGTTGTTGGTGGTTTGTAATACAGTGAGCAAAGTTTTTGAGAATTAGAAGTATTATGGAGGTCAAAGTTACCTCATCAACTTAACTAGGTTCGTGAGGATACTCGACGCGAAATGTAAATAATTAAAATTGAGTTGTTACATAATATTTAATGTTACGAATTTGATTTTCAAAGCACAGCTCCAACGTTAACCGGCTAACCAGTGTTCTCTTAGCATTTTACATGGGAGTCAAAATTTAAGACCTCACATTTTTTGATGTAAAGAAATATTACTTAGACTATAGTGACAGTTCTATGTTTTGTTTTTATTTTTTAAAATTGGCCTTTGTGCATTCATAATTGATTGCAAGTTCCCTAGCCATCAACAATATTACTTAGACCATAGTGGCTGTTTTATGTTTTGTTTTTATTTTTATTTTTATTTTTAAAATTTGCCTTTATGCATTCATAGTTGATTGCAATTTCCCTAGCCATCACAACAATAAGAATGGGTGAATTAGGCCGGGCAACTTCTGGCACCACCATTAATTTGATACGAAACGACATGGAAAAGGTTTCAGGTCAATTCGTTAACGAGCTGAGTTTTTATTGGGCATCCCTTAAGAACTTTTTAACAAGTCGGGGAGTTATGGGGTCACCCGTTAAGAACTCGTTAACAAGTGGAGTCGTTATCAGGTCCCACATTAAGAACCCGATAAGATATCGTTTGCAACATCTAAACATTAGGCATGACAATTTCTTGCATGACTCGTTAACTCTATATGAAATGACAAGACCTATTAACAAATCGGATCGTTATCAGATAAACTATTATAACCCGTTAAGATAACGGGTTTAACACAAACACAACAAACACGACGCGTTTGCCAGTCCTAGGGTGAATGCAAAAGAGATGGCACATAGGAGAGAACCTACTCTCAACCACATAGGCATCACAACAAACAGATGCTTGCATGCATGCCTATCAAACCCCTTAACTATATGTATACAACGTAAAACAATTGCTATATGCTCAGATAACATTCTTCATTACTAAATATCTACGTACTCTCACCAATATATAAGATATGCGTAATGCAGAAGACATGGTCAACAAATATACAACCTACTACCTCAACCACACAGCCGATCACAAACACTGCATGACAAAATCAACCAATCACATCCTACCTTTATGAACACTTCAACTTCACCACCATAACATCGCCATCCCAACTCTTCTGCTCTTCTCTTCCTGTGTTGAACATGGAGAAGAAGAAACTGCTTATGCTCAGAGATGAAGCATTACTGCAGCACCCAGTTCTCCTCCTTCTAATTCTGGTTTTAGGGTTTGTTGTGATGGACCCACTGGAAATGGGACCACTTGGGAACCATGAGTTTAAGCCTGTGAAGCACAGCATTGCACCGTACAAGCAAGTCATGGAGAGGTGGCCGAGGGACAATGAGAGTAGGTTAGGGCTTGGGAAGCTGGAGTTTGAAGATCAAGTTTTTGGTCCCGAGTCGTTGGAGTTTGATGCTTTGGGTCGAGGTCCGTACACAGGGTTAGCCGATGGACGTATTGTTAGATGGATGGGCAAGGATTTGGGATGGGAAACGTTTGCACTTGTGACAACAAATTGGTGTGTGACTAATTTCATTTATTCATTTCTTTCTTATGGCTTGATTTCATATTTGGAGATGCAATTGTCTTTTTTCATTGTTTGAACTCTAATGTGTTTGCATGTACAGTAAATATTGCTCAAAATTCTTTAGGCTAGTTGGTATTTCTTACTTTGGTTTTTAACAATAAAAAGCGACTAAAGTTGTCCCTGAGTTTGTCCATCGTAAATCATTTTGATATTTCCATGAAAAATTCATTAATATCCTCGTTAAATTGTCATGGAACAGCCACGTGACCGTCTTTTTAAGGTTATTTTTGTCAAATCAACCCCTCTACTTAACGAGGATATTGATACATTTTTCACAGAATGACCAAAATAATTTGCGGTGGACAAACTCAAGGACTTAAATGAGGAGTTATGTCGATCTCAAAAACCACTTTGGCTAAAAAACCAATTCCTTTATATGCTTTCAAAAAAGAAAATCATTACATTCATTGCTAATTATAGTGGATGTGTCTCAAAAGGTCAGAGAAGGTTTGTGCTAAAGGCATAGACTCAACCACGCATAAGCAATGGAAGCACGAGAAAAAGTGTGGTCGTCCCCTTGGCCTAAGATTTGACAAAGAGAGTGGAGATTTGTACATTGCTGATGCATATTATGGCCTCCTAGTTGTTGGCCCCGAAGGAGGCATTGCTACTACTTTGTCAACTCATGTGGAAGGGAAGCCTATACTTTTTGCAAATGACCTTGACATCCACAGGAATGGCTCTATTTTCTTCACAGACACAAGCAAGAGATACAACCGAGTGTAAGTCAAAGTACTTTTGTGTTTGAGATTGTTTTTTATGGAAGTATTTTTGTTCATAAGTGTTTTTACGGGAAAAGAACATTTCAAAAAAGCATGCGAAAGAGCATGTTTCTTGCAGAATTGATGTTTCCTTCTTGAGTCAAGTCCAAAAAAGCAAGTGTAATCGGTTTCTGCGATTGAACTCGAGTCCTACAGATCGAGTGTACCATCATGTATCATATAACAAGAGAAAGTTTGAAAGAATTTGAATTTTTTGGAGATTGAATGCTTTTAGCCACTCATGTGGTACTTTATCATATGATATACATAAGAATTATACGATATATATATGATCTACGCATTTCTCTTGAAAACACTAAATATAATTTTTTTTTTTTTAATCCATACAAACTTTTAAATTTCTCTATCAAACGTTTATAAAAGTGTCCTTGGATATCTGAGATTTTTTTTATTAGTCCTTTTAAGATGATTGCATTAGTGATATCTTGACTTCACATGTTAATGCTAATTGTATTACTAATTAGCAACCAAATGAGGTGTTAATGGAAATTAATCAAATTGCAGGGATCATTTCGTTATACTACTGGAAGGAGAATCCACTGGTAGGCTTCTGAGATATGACCCTCCTACTAAAACAACTCACATTGTCTTGGATGGTTTGGCTTTTCCAAATGGAATTCAACTTTCACAGGACCAAACATTTCTTCTCTTTACTGAGACCACCAACTGCAGGTAATAATTTACACAGCTGGTTAATTAATCAAGGTTATCCAAACCATAGCATGAAAATAAAGCTAGTTTTAATTTGAGCTAGTTATCCACTTTGTCGAAGGAAGTTACTTAGTTTAGATTTCATGGACGATAATTGTTGAATTGAAAAATATTTTGAGCTACTTTATTGAAATCAGTTGAACATGTCCCTTTATAAGGGTACGTACAGTGCATCCTAATATTTCTGCTTGTTCTTTGCATTATTGCAGGCTAATGAAATATTGGCTAGAGGGTCCAAAAACTGGGACAGTGGAACTTGTTGCCAACCTTCCAGGTTTTCCAGACAATATAAGAATAAATGAGAAGGGCCAGTTCTGGGTAGCAATAGACTGTTGCAGGACTCCAGCACAAGAGGTTCTCTCTCATAATCCTTGGATACGTAGTGTCTACTTTCGCTTGCCCATCCGAATGACCTACTTGGCGCGGATTATGGGGATGAAGATGTACACAATGATTTCACTGTTCGACGAGAAGGGAGAAATTTTGGAAGTTCTTGAGGACAGAAAGGGTGTGGTTATGAAACTTGTGAGTGAAGTTAGGGAAGCAAAAGGCAAACTGTGGATTGGAACTGTGGCTCATAACCACATTGCCACCCTCACTTACCCTTAAGAGATCATTATTTACTAGCCACTAACAAATGGTAGCTTAAAATGGGTGGCTTGATGTATGATTTGTTTAACAACATTGATAATTAGATGATTTGAGGTTAATTGTGGTTTGTTTTTACTAAATGTATGGTGAAAATTTGTGATTAAGTTACTAATTATGTTATGTGATTTGTAGCTCTCTACACCATTGAATAATGGGTAAATGATAGTATTGTAGGAATGATTACAAAGAAGATAAATAGAACAAACGCAAGGATAAGAACAACTTTATTTTCTAACATACATTATTCATAATTGTGTATTTTTTAATACGAGAATTTTTTATTTATATGATTCCCAAAAAAACGTCTAGGAAAGAAAAGGACAATCATCAGTAGTTGGAAGGCAAGGCTACTGGGAATGAAAATCCTATCCGAATTTTTTTTGTGAGGATCTTTGAGATACTTAAATTGTGTCCGTTTATCGTACATCGTTTGGTCAGAAATCATTTTAAATACTTTTATTTAAAATTAAATATGAATAGTATCTGACGAAAACTGGCCGCACAATGTACGAGAAACAGATACGATTTGAAGATCCACATCATCCTCACAAAGACGATCCGGAGAAGATCCTCATTCGGCCAATGGTATGCTATGATCTTGTAGACGGCCCTATGGAGTAGGAGAAAATTTTCATTGTGTTAGAAATATATAGATAATACACCACGTATTATTATATATAAATTGTGAGAAGTTTTATTTTTTAAGTTGCTAATATTTTAACATAAGTATCTCACCATCTGTATAATAACATTTAATGTTCACGTAGTGTATTTTGATCACGCTTATAAATATTTCATAGAATAGTTAATTGGAAGTAGGTTTAACCAAACCAACAACTTCGCTTTGTCAATGGAGGTCAGCATGTGAGTTTCTAATTAAGGCACCGAAAAACCTGTCCAGCAGTTATTTCAACCACGTACTCCTCCTACCTCTATTTAAGAAAATGAAATGACGTGACTGGGTGAGTGCATCTTAATAAAAAATGGGAATAAGATTGTTTTCCTCTTTTTTTTTTTTTTTTTTTTTGCTTCCTTTCCCTGCCATTCTATTTGAACGATCATGGTTAAATCACGTCAACATCTTATATTATTTTTTTATAGAAAAAAAAAAGACAAAATAGAGAATGTGAGGAGAGAGGATAGAAGGGGATAGAAACTAGAAAGAGAAGGGGGAAGAATCCTAATCCTAAAAAATATACGACGGTTTGTCATGGGCACAGTTCTAGAATTTCTCGCTTATCGCCGTTTAGGTCCTTCCTAAGAGTTATGTAGCTAGTCATTACTCTGATTAATAAAGAGTTTTGAAAATTAAAAACGAGCGTCTTGACACCCGTTTAGGTTGTGACTCTTACTTAGATAGAAAATAAATAACTTTTATTTTGCATTTTATTTTTTCAATAAGAAACTTGTTGAATATTTGGACAGACACTCATTTTATGTTTGTTCCTCATGTTTTCAATATGATCTAATACTTTATAATCTATATGTCATTTTATTTTGCAATTTTATATATCCTAATACAATTATATATATTTTTAAGTGTAAATAGATATTTATTTATATAATATATAATAAACTTAATTAAAATAAAATAAAAATCGTCTAGGCCTCGTCTAGACGCCTAGGCACTAGACTCATATCCGCCGCATGATTAGCACCTATCGCTTTTTAAAACTCAAATCATAAAAATATTAATTGCTACTAAAATAAATGGACGGTTCATCGTGTACCTCAACCTGCAAACATACGTTCATCGTGAGAATGTTTGTCATTTCATTCTTTGAACAAGACAAAGCCTAGTTCTCTTTGCTCTTTGCTCTTTGCTCTGTTGTTTATCACTTCTTTATCACTTGGAAGAAGTACTCGCACAAGTCACAGATTCTCAGTTGGTGCGCTGGTAAAAATGGTGATATGCTAAAGTTGCTTTTGGGAGTTGTTAATTGGTGATTCAAAGTTATTTTGGCATAAAAAATAGCATGTGGTTTTACTTTTAATCAATGGGGAGGAGAGTTCTAGCATTAGAAAATGAAAATCTCAGTTGAGCATTTCAATATTGTGTGACGACGTACTTTTTTGTTCATCTACTTGTGGATAAAAAGCTATGTTGCGACGTAATATCATAATCTGAATCAAAATTTTATTAACCATCATTATAAAGATTTTATCCACGAATATTCAATATAATTCGAGAATGTTTAGTTATTTGAAGATGTAGAACAAATCCTTTAGAATAACGCCATCAACTTGTTGCGAAAATTAAATGATCAAAATTAACCTCATTAAGTCTCGAATTTTAGTATTCGCAAGTGTATGAATCAGATGATAGTATATCATTGAGCACGGATATTAAGAAGTTTTAACGGAAAGATTTGAGATTTTGAATTAAACTAAAATAAAGTAAAGCTAAAAACAATGCATGTAAATAATAAAATAAAGTAAAGCACTTGTTGAAAACCAAACTCATCAGGAATCACAAGATTACACAAATCAATAAAACCGTTAATTTCGTGTTAAACGGAAATCATATGAAAACAAAAAGACTCAAATCATAAATCCATAACGAGGTAGAAAGTATGATATACGCATGACTCTAATTGCATAACCTAATCATTGTCGCAATTCTAGGACTCCAAGTGAAATGAAGTAAATTCAACAAATTAAACAGCTCCGTTCTTAACAAATAGATCCAAAATGGATCCCAAAACATGTAATATTGTTAATCCACACATTAGCATTTGTTTACATTTACAAACCATCGTATGTGGCATGGTGATATGGCATGCCAAGTCATTTAGTGAAACTAAGTGGGTTTTAAATTTTTTTAATCTTCTGATTAAAACACAATTAATTATATTTTAGAGCAAAATAACATTCCACCGAAACATGATCTGCAAGGCTTGACCCAATTGGCAAGAAAGTCAAAAAGAAAAGAGCACCCTTAATTCTCGGCACCATTTGCTTTCTTTCCAACAGATTCTCTCCGGATCTTTTGGTGAGAATCTTAAGAATTCGTGAATCGTATCTGTTCATTATATATTATGCAGTTTATTTTTGTTAAGTACTGTTTATGTTTAATTTTAAATAAAATTATTTAAAATAATTTTTGACCGTACGATGTACAATGAACGGACACGATTTACGAATCCTGAAATCCTCACAAAGAGGATCCGGATTAGCTTTCTTTTGCATTAACCGATCTTGAGTACGGAGAGGTTTAATTGTTTATTACCGTTGATATATATATATTAGGGTAGTATTATTTATACATTTATTTTTATTTTTTTACACACTTTTATTATTTGTCATTAGTTTTTATTTATTTATTTGATTCAACGTTTGAAAATTAAAATGAGTGTGTAAAAAGTAAAATAAGCACATAAATAGCACTAATATATAATGTTACAATGATTCGAGACCTCAACTCCCATGTATTTCATCAATTCGAATTATTTAATTTTTAGACATTTTTTCTCAAATATCATATTACGAAAACTAATTAAATCGAAAACTCTATCACCGTCACATTATATATGTGTATAATAAAGAAGTGATTTTATCCAAGTTTTTGTTTTCCTTTGATTATCTCAATTATTGTTGTCTTTTAGGGCTCGTTTGATAGCTGCTTTTGAATGACTAAAAACATTTTTAGAGAAGATGTTCTTATAATAAATTCTTAGTAAAAATACAAATTGATCCTGGAAAGCACTTAAACACTTAACGTACTTTCTCCAAAAAGCACATAACATATGCTTCTTTTATAAAAAACTTCAAATATTTCTGAAACTCAAAAATATTTTTTTTAAAAAGAACCTTCAATCAATTAAAAACACTTCTAGGACGAGCCATTAATTTGTCGTTAGTTTATTCAATCATATTCTTAAAAGAAATAAAGATTAATGGGATTAGTACGTCACACAATCACAATTTGCATTCTGCAGTTCACTAAAAACAAAAAAACAAAAAAAATATCGTTAGTTTTTTTTCTTAATTTTGCAATTATTGCATAAGGACCAAAATTGAATTTAACCGATATTTTCTCATATTGATGTCCGAGACAGAGAAAAATCAAGCCTGGGGGGATTTCACGCCTCAACCTCCCCCTTGGCTATATTCTAAGTCAAAATTCCCCAATTAAATTTCGAATTAATTTTGAATTCGAATTGTTTTTCACATCAATTTTCTGGGAATTAATTGGTATTTACATTGTTCATATCATTTAAAATTCTAGAAATTTGATAGGTTGTTGTTGTCGACTTTTGGCGTCTTCGATACTGTAGATCCCGATCGCAATCGCAAGCCCTTAATTGTGCCAAAGAGGTAGACTTTTCTGCGTTTTGAATTGGTATGCTTACTTTTGTCTTTGGGAATTTCGCTTCTTTTTGTTTGTGGAATTAAATTTATTTTTTTTCTGAATTCTGAACTGTAATCTGCTGAATTTTCATCTGGATTGTTTATGAGGTACATTTGGGTTCTTAGTAATGGCATTAATGCTGCTTTCAGCTGGATTTTTATTTTTTTGAGCTTTAGAGGTTCTTGACAACACCATGAAATCGCATCCGACGTTTGAACACGAAAGTTTATGTGAATTTGAGATGTATTTGATCATGCAGGGCTGCTGAGTTTTCTGCAGAATTGTGGTTCTGAAAAGTTTGATTCTTTTCGTTTTGCAGTTAAATTACTTTTCCTTCAAAAATGGGGGTTATGTCGAGGCGGATTGTGCCCGCCTGCGGGAACCTCTGCTTCTTCTGTCCTTCAATGCGTGCGAGGTCAAGACAGCCTGTGAAACGCTACAAGAAGCTGCTTACTGATATCTTGCCTCGTAATCAGGTTAGTTATCAGCTTCTGTTGTGTGATCAAATTGTAAAAAAGATGGATACTTTCTGTTGCAGAAGAAGTTTGGGTTCACTTAGCAGTTGTGCAACTACTTGTGTATGGAGTGACTTTCTTAGTTACTCGGTGTTCGTTTTATGATATTTGACAATGTCATACTTTGGTGCTTGTAAAGTTAGACATATAGTCTTTAAATTTAAGTTTATGTTCAATCTAAT